AGTCAGGTAGTATTTGTTACATAGTTTCTTAAACTGTAGTCACAGAGGCCTGCAGCCGCAGGTGCAGGTGGGGAACGTTGGTTTCCTCTGTCACTGAGGCAAGCAAGCCCTCCTGTTGGTGTCAGTAGCCTGGCTGCCAGCCGCCATCTTGGCTGGCAGTTAATTTGCATATCGACCTGATTAGCCAATGGGTAGGGTAGCAGACGTATGGCTAATTACCATGTTTCTCTTTTATTAGATAGGATGATAAGTTCTTGATACATGCATCATCTTCAGTGATCCTCAAGGATATTATGCTGAGTGAAAAGCCAATTTCAAAAGGTTACATACTATTATGATTTCATGTATATAATATTCTTAAAATCACTGAATTATAGAGATTATGAACAGATTGGTGATTCCCAGAAGACAGGGACTGGATTGAGGCAAGGTGAAATGGGAGTGAATATAAAAGAGGTAATACAAGGGAGTTCTTTTGTGGTAATGGGATAGTTCTGCATCTTGATTGTGTACATAGATCTGAACCTGAGATAACATTGCGTAGAATCATATACATGATTCAAACCACACACACATACATGAATACACATTTTAAAATGGGAAAACTGAGTTCTCTAGTCTAGTTAACAGCACAATATAGTAAGGCTGTGAGTTATGAGAATTATCTGCTAGCTGTAATTATCACTTTATTTCTCACTCAAGTATATTGAAATGCAAATGAGGGGATGTGGCTATATTATATGGAAAACCTGAATCTGCTCAAATTTATCCAAATTACTTATACCATATTTTACAACTATAGCTGTTTGAGAGCATCCATTTCAGGGTAAAAAAGTAGTAAAATACAGTTTCTACCTTATATACTGCTAATATGGCTATGGTATAATAGAATTTCAAGTCAGACCTGGATTTTAATCCCAGTTCTGCTGCTTACCAGATCTGCATTTTCTCAATTGTAGGCATAATACCTGTTTTATAGAATTGTTTTCATTCAACTATTTGTGAAAGGTGCCTAACACCGTATCCAACTCACATAGTTGTTGTTCACAAAATGTTTTGTGTGGGGGTTTTTTTGCTACAAAAAGTCATTGAGGTTGAGATGGTAGTATATTCATGCACCTATAGACAAAGTGAATGATAAATATGTACTAAAAATGATAAATATTGAGGTATAATCTACAAAAAAGAGGAGTTGGAAAATGGTAAGTGCCAAGTAGGCTGTGGTTGTCAGAGAAGGCATTATGATAGGAATGGGATTCAAAGTAGGTTTTGAAGAATGGAGAGGTCTGGAGAGGTAAATCAGGTGGGAGACCATTATAAGCAAAAGCAAGAGCCTGAGGTTATATGGTTATATGGAAATCACAATTGAGAAGTAACCTGCTATCCCATTAGATTATATTTTGGAAGTTAGAAATCTTGAAAGATTTAAGCAATTGATCCCATAGTGTTACATTCTTAAAAGTAACCCAATATTTGCTGTGTATTTTAATGATATTGCTTGGTTACTAAGACACTTGTGTACCTTAGTTTGCAATCTTGATTTACATAGCTCCTGACAGTTGTAGGTAAATTCAGGCTTGTTGATAAAAAATTCTTTATGTTTAACAAAAATGAAAGACATAATAATAAAATATTAACAAGATCTGGGTTTTCATTGTTTTCGTCAATGCTTATACAATTGTTTTCACATGTTATTAATGTATATGAATTTAATTTCTTCAAATAAAACTTAGGCAGTTTAATAAACTTCATGTTTCTAAATGAAGGTTGTTGTTTTTGATACTATAACTTTGCATAGAAATGTGAGTGGTTGAATGTTTGCCCTTAATATATGAAAACATTATATTCCTAATTTTCATTTATTGTGGGATATTCTTGTGGAGAAATAGATTAGTTTTGAAAGTTAGTTTGTTATTTAGTGGTTTTATTTTGTATGTGTTGGAGCAAAGGAATCTTTATGGGGCAAGTAGGTCTATCACTGTTATTTGGTGTTCCAATGGTGAATCAGCCACACATGATAGTAATTTATTTGCTTTTGAGATCCTCTTTGCTATATAATTTCAGTTTTACCATTATTTTGGGGAATGAATAATTTTATATGCATGTATTATATTCCCTTTATATACGAAGCATTGTGTTCAACATGGGTAGGGCAGAAAGAGAAATATGATACAGACCAACATGGGTAGGGCAGAAAGAGAAATATGATACAGACCATATTCTTTCAAAGTAGGAAAGAAAAATATATACACAAATAACTATAAGGCAATTTGCCACAAGTGCCATGAGCTCTGTAGGATATCAGATAATGGAGAGATCTTTTTTTAGTGAATGATCAGGTAAGATTTTATGATCAGGCAGGAGCAATTGACTAATGCACGTAGGTTATAAATTAACGTTAACATGGCGGTCAGTGTAAGGTAGAAATCCTGAAATGACAGCTCTTCTAATGCCAAAGATTTTATCTTTATAAACTGGGAAAATCACTCCAATACTTGAAATGGTTAATATGGTTAATTTAAGGTAAATATTTATACTTTTATAAATAAACTCGAGGCCCAGTGCATGACATTCATGCGGGGGAGGGGGGTGCGCATGCTTCAGCCCAGCCTGTGCTCTCTCATAGTCCCAGACCCCCTCGGGGGATGTCTGCCTGCCATGGGGAGCAGGTTTAAGCTGGCAGGTAGAAATCCTTCGAGAAGTCTTTAGCTCTGCCACGGAGGCGGGAGAGTCTCCCACCACCACCTCTGCACTTGCCAGCCATGAGCCCAGCTTCTGGCTTAGCCCACAAAAGGAGCACCTATATTGAGTGTCTGCCCCCTGGTGGTCAGTGCACATCATAGCAACCGGTCATTCTGCCATTCGGTTGATTTGCATATTAGCCTTTTATTATATAGGATATTTTCATATGATGGGTAATTGCTACTTTTATGTTTTTAGGCCATGAATATTGTGGTTCCTTTCATGTTTAAATATGCTGTAGACAACCTCAACCAGATGTCAGGAAATATGCTGAACCTGAGTGATGCACCAAATACAGTTGCAACCATGGCAACGGCAGTTCTGATTGGCTGTATGTATGATTCTTTGATTTGTCTACAGGTGTTGACTTTCTTCAAGAGGGTTTCATCATGTTTGAGCAGATGACCTTTTCACTACAAACACAATTTAGCATTTTTTATATGTATTGTTTTATGTGAGATTTTTTTGATATGTGGTTTTAAAAATTCTTTGTATCATATATTTTCCAAAAATTCTGTTAATAATAGTCTCATTCTCCAAGTTCTAGAAAACAGTAATATGAAATGAGACATTAAAATTATAGCAACCACTTCTAATAGGCTTCTTGTAATATACCTTTAAAGAGTGAGGCAAGCTAGTTTCTTGATGTTGTTTTTATTAGCAGTTAAATAGGAAATAGCTAAATAATGATTAATTATTGTGCATTAATGCTTTATTAAATTATATCCAATAGCCATGACACAAAGAATATGTAAAGCAGAGAATATGATGCTTTGTGTGCCCATGCATTAGAAAGGACATTTTATGAGACTTAGGAGACTTGAATGGGGCCATGCTTTAGTCCAAGGGTGGGAACCTTTTTTCTGCCAAGGGCCATTTGGATATTTATAAAATCATTTGCAAGCCATACAAAATTATCAGCTTAAATTTAGCCTGCTATATTTGGTCAAACATTTAATTAACTCACCCTTAATGCCTTGGGAGGACCAGACCAAATGATTTTGTGGCCCACAGGCCAAATACTCCCCATCCCTGCTTTAGTCCATGAAGTTGATTTTTCAGTATCTCAATTTCATCAATTGTTATTTGGGAGAATTTAATCAGATCAAAAAACTCAGCAGATACTGTGTATTTATCTACAATAAGGCCATATGGGCTATTGTGTATTAAAAATATCTAGTTGAAGAAAAATCTTTCAACACCTGAGGCATATAGGGAGAATATCATTGAAAGGGATCCATGGTGGTGGAAAGATTGGTACTCACTAAACTAGATGCTTTTTAGATTTCTTTTAGTGTAAGTATTCAGTGATGAATTCATTCATTATACAAATACTTTTGGGCCTTTATCATTTTTACATTCCTAGGATTCTAATGTTTTTATGCCCCATATTTTCTTTTGACTGTATTGTTAGATGGTGTATCAAGAGCTGGAGCTGCCTTTTTTAATGAAGTTCGTAATGCAGTATTTGGCAAGGTAGCCCAAAATTCAATACGAAGAATAGCCAAAAATGTCTTTCTCCATCTTCACAACCTGGATCTGGCTTTCCACCTCAGCAGACAGACCGGAGCTTTATCAAAGGCTATCGACAGAGGGACAAGGGGTATCAGTTTTGTTCTGAGTGCTTTAGTATTTAATCTTCTTCCCATTATGTTTGAGGTCACTCTTGTCAGCGGTATTTTGGTAAGTAAAACATTTTTCATAACAAGCTTTTAATTTCTCATTAGTAGCTATTTAATACTTGAAGTTATTGTGGTATTGTGTGTCTATGGTTTGAAAGCACAATACCGTGATGCTAGAGAATTATGCATATATTAAATTATTTACTACAAGCTTCAAGGGACTGTCCAAAGTCTTTATCATGTTATTTTTCTTATTTGATTTCAGAGAGGAAGGGAAAAGGAGAGAGATATAGAAACATCAATGATGAGAGAGAATCATTGATTGACTGCCTCCTACACACCCCCTACTGGGGATTGAGCCCACAACTCGGGCATGCGCCTTGACTGGGAATCAAACCAGGACCTCCTGGTTCATAGGTCAACACTCAACTCCTGAGCCATACCAGCTGGGCTTATATTGTTATTTTAAGGAGCTGTTTAGTTCTAAACATTGATAAATAATTTAGCTGGTGCTTGCAATTATTGTTAACAGAGATTTTTGTATAGAACTTTAGACTGGTATACTCAAATTATCTGGGTTTCTATTCACCATTCATGACATTTTAGACAATTTCATATTTTTAAATTAAAATGAATATATATTATTCCTCTCATGGATTTTTGCACTATTATTATCAATATTTGACAGTAGCATCAGTGTGGCCGGTGCAGTTTGGCTTTCTTCCCTTGTTATCTAAAGTAGATTTTCTAAGGTATTTTCTTTCTTCCCCAAATAATTATTCATTTATTCCCCGACATATTTTTTAAAATCTTTTGAATAAAATTTGTTATTGTATATTATAAACTATTTGACAAGAACAGTGACTATTTCTCTTTTCTTCTTTTGCCTTCTTCAGTATTACAAATGTGGTGCCCAGTTTGCATTGGTGACTCTTGGGACACTTGGTGCATACACAGCATTCACAGTTGCCATCACCCGGTGGAGGTAAGGTATTCCCCAGAGGCCAGTCAAGATTTGGAAATTAGTTATGCTTCTTTAACAAACATTTCATGCCTATGCAAATTTTTGTCTTACAGAACTAGATTTAGAATAGAAATGAACAAAGCTGATAATGATGCAGGTAATGCTGCCATAGATTCGCTGCTGAATTATGAAACTGTGAAGGTACTATGTTTTATTATACTTTTCCTTAGCCTTTAAATTGTGCTAAGATTTGTTTTGCCATTTAATTTAATAGTTACTATAGCTTAGAGCTTCAGATTAAGATAGTATCTTTAGGTGTGATAGAATAATAGTACCTTTATTATTTTTCTTTTATTTAGAAATTGTCCTTTATTTCCACATTAATTTTTTTGTGACACCATCAGAAAGTGATATGAGTATGGTTAGCATTTTGATGTAGAATGAACACTAAGCTAATGAATTTAGCATGTAAGTTCTTGGCTCTCTATCCTTCAGAGTGCCTATCATAGTGCTTTCATTTTGCTTCTTTGTTAATTTTTCCATTTTACAATTATTATTGAATTTCCCTCCCTCTGGCCAGCCATAGGCACCCAGGATCTGGGCCAGCTTCACCTGTGCCAGCCACAGCCATAGGGGACCATGGGTGGACAGCTTTGCCCGGGCCACAGCTGCAGGTGCCCGGGACTGCAGGGCGGGCAGCTTGTCCCGCCCCTGTGCCGCAGCCTGGCTGGTCTCCATTCCTTTCTCACCAGCTCATTTGTGCCTGGCTGGTCCCCATTCCTCTGTTGCCAGCTCATTTGTGCCTGGCTGGTTCCCATTCCTCTCTACCCAGTGTTGAGTGTCTGAGCCATTATGGCATGAGGGCGTGATGACCATTTGCATATTAGTTCTTTATTATGTAGGATGCCTCTTGTTTGCAAAGCACTAAGTTCTGTGTAAAAAAAGAATGCTTCATATTTAATCCTTACCCTCCCAGAATTTGTTAACCCCTTCCCCGGCAGAAACGTGTATACTCGTTTTCACAAAATGTTCTTTTTCAGTCATCGACGAGTATACTAAGAAAATATGGTAAAAAAATATGGTTTATAGGAAGACGAGTTACAAACTGTTTTCATAACCAGCATCAAAAATACTATATAGAACCAAAATAAAAAAATTAGTCTGAAAAAGAAACGTTTTTAACAAAAAAATTGTTGGGGAAGGGGTTAATCTACTGAGAAAGTTAAAGTAAGTATGCCAATGACTGTACAAGAGGCATATTGCAGTGGGGACAATGACAACTGTCAACTCAAAGTTCCAGGAGATATGGGGAAGGTTTGTGAATGAAGTACCCTTGATGGCTTTTTTTAAGATATGGGTATGTCCTACCAGCGTGGCTCAGTGTTTGAGGGTTGACCTATGAACCAGAAGGTCACTGTTCGATTCCCAGTCAGGGCACATGCCTGGGTTGCGGGCTGGATCCCCAGTGTGGGGCATGCAGGAGGTAGCCAATCAATGATTCTCTCTCATCAATGTTTCCATCTCTTTCTCCCCTTTTCAGCTCTCTGAAATCAATAAAAATATATTTAAAAATAAATAAATAAAATGGAGTGGGTACTACAAAATTTTTCTGTACATGAAAGTCTGATAAAAAAGATATTAATTACTTTAAGAGAATAAATTCTAATATACGTGTTTGTAGTTACTATTTTTATATATTTTTTATAGTATTTTAATAATGAAAACTATGAAGCACAAAGATATGATGGATTTTTGAAGACATATGAGACTGCTTCATTGAAAAGTACCTCTACTCTGGCTATGCTGAACTTTGGTCAAAGTGCTATTTTCAGTGTTGGTTTAACAGCTATAATGGTGCTTGCCAGTCAGGGAATTGTGGCAGGTAATGGATCTATGGTTTTAACATTCATGGATGTTTTACTTAACCTTTATAAATAAAGATTAATGAGATTAATGTGTGTAGTCTTCATTATAAAGCATATTCAATAATGTGCTTTAACATCCTTGGAGTACTTTCCTTTGTGTATCAGAATGTGTTTTCTTGATTGTATAGTAATGTTTTTTTTTTCCTTCATTTGGTTTAGCACTACAATTTTAGCACTGACTCTCTCATTGGTTGGAATTACTGTTTATATATTTTTTGGGCCTGTAATCTGATTGTTTGAGGAGTAATTTTTTTTAGCATCTAAAGTTTCTAATTTCTCTTATTGAACTGAAAATCAATGTAACTAGTCTTTAGTCCAAAGGACTAAAACTCAAGCAATCTTTTCTTTAGAATTACTAGTAACCTTTTAACCTTTCTAATAGTTTTTCATTTGAAAAACATTTTAAAAATTAATAATGTCTATACCTCATTTTTGTTACCTGCCCACTCAAGTTAGGATTCATTTATTCACTGTGACCTTAATACATGGTTTATCATTTTCAGTCATGACATGCATTTGCTCCGATTTTTTTAATATATACTCTTGTTTAAATTTCTTTTTTATATTACAAAGAAACTAGCTTAAGGAGAGATTTTCAGCCTTTGGTTTTTATTCTCACTTAAGCCATATTTTTGTGTGTATAATGTATAGTGTATGGGTTGACTTTTCCTATTCTACTTAGCATATATCAAGTGCCCTGTCTTCCTAAATTATGGACTAAAGCAGTGGTTCTCAACCTTCCTAATGCCGCGACCCTTTAATATCATTCCTCATGTTGTGGTGACCCCCAATCATAAAGTTATTTTTGTTGCCACTTCATAACTATAATTTTGCTACTGTTATGAATTGTAATGTAAATATCTGATATGCTATTTTTGTTTTCCGATGGTCGTGACCCACAGGTTGAGAACCGCTGGACTAAAGGGTAAAGGGCGTCAAATATATGGTGATGGAAGAAGATTTGACTTTGGGCATTGGGCATACAGAGCAATATATAATATATAGATGGTATATCATAGAAATGTACACTTGAAAACTATATATTTTATTAACTAATGTCACCCCAATAAATTTAATTTAAAAATGCTTTGAAATTTAAGTAGGCCTAAGAGTTGCTGATTTTGTACATTTTTTATTTTGTACATTTTGAACTGTATTCCAGAGTAATAGACTTTCTCTACTTTAAATTGGAACAGTTCATAACATCTAAAACACCTTTTTTTCTTCTTCTGTTAATTGCATATTAAGGTACCCTTACCGTTGGAGATCTAGTAATGGTGAATGGACTGCTTTTTCAGCTTTCATTACCCTTGAACTTTCTGGGAACTGTATATAGAGAAACTAGACAAGCACTCATAGATATGAATACCTTGTTTACATTACTCAAGGTAGACTCCCGAATTAAAGTAAGTAATTTATTTAGTACCTTTAAAAAAGCATGTGAGCTTTGTCACTTTAATAGAATTATTCTAGGGGAATATTCTTGCATGACCATGGTAGGAAACCAATTTCATTTTTGCAGAAATTGAGATTATCATGTCTATTAGGAAATCGTTACAGTTTTTACTTCTATCTTTAGAAACCTTGCAATGTTAACAAAGAATATTATGTCTAGAAGCTAAATATTGTTAAGTGGAATTATTTGTACTTACACTTGATTTATTTTTGATAATAATGATTATACGATGTGCAATTGCCTCTTCTTACTTCCTCTACTTCCTTACCCCCCTGTCCAGCATCCCTTTACCTCCCTCCCAAAATACTGAAAAATTAAAGCATCCAGGATTTTTTACTTTAGCAGTGAAAAGTGAAAAGCAAGTCTTTAAAAGCATGCTTGGAAGTGGTCTAACTGTACTTATAAACTTCCTTCTTCCCATTATTTTCCTTTTTATCTCCGTGAACTAGAAAATTATCTGCATAGTTGTGCTCTAGGAAGTATTAAAGTGGCTGTTTTTGTGTTTTTTGTTTTTTTCTCTTCTCTGCTAGGACAAAGCGATGGCATCTCCCCTTCAGATCACACCACAGACAGCTACGGTGGCCTTTGATAATGTGCATTTTGAATACATTGAGGGGCAGAAAGTTCTTAGTGGAATATCTTTTGAAGTCCCTGCAGGAAAGAAAGTGGCCATTGTAGGAGGTAGTGGGTCAGGGTGGGTAATTTAGTTATTTATAAAATTCTACATCATTGATTAATGATTCCTAATATAATATTTTTTCTTTATCAAGATAGAATGAATACTGTTGTTTAAAACAGGGGTTTCCTAATGTCATTAGGAGCTAAATAACCTTCCTTATCTCTAATTTCAGGAAAAGCACAATAGTGAGGCTGTTGTTTCGCTTCTATGAGCCTCAAAAGGGTAACATTTACCTTGCTGGTCAAAATATACAAGATGTGAGTCTGGAGAGCCTTCGGAGAGCAGTGGGAGTAGTGCCTCAGGTATTTAAATGAAAGAAGAAAACTACTTGGGGGCGAGATTTATTGGGTTGGTGGCTCTTTTATTAGAATAATTTGTATCCAAGGAGTCAATATGTTCTAGTTAGGAAACATTAAGCCCTGTAGGTCAAATTCTGTTACCAAAAAGACTGAAAAAAAGTGAATGGAAAGTCTACACGAAGGAACGATTTTTTTTAAGCCTTAGAAAGACAGAGTAATATAGAGGAAAGAGCCAACACTGGTATCAAACAGAACCTGATTCTAACTCCAGCTCTAACCCTTATAAATTCTGTGGTTTTGGCCTCAGTTTCCTCATCTATAAAACAAGGATACTATTTCTCTTATAGGATAGAATTATTATAGATTAGAGATAATACATGTAAAGCACCAAGCACAGTGTTCATTATACAATTGTTCAGGAAGTGAAAATTATTATTGTAATTTTGAACAGTTTTAGATATAGTAAATTTATAAAAATTACAAAGCAGTTTGGCTGCCAACTTCAAGTTTGTCTGCCTTGTTCACCATTGTCCCTTCAGTACCAAGCACAATTCCTGACCCATAGTAAGCATTTAACAAGTATTTGCTGAATGACTTTGGGGTGGAGGGTTGGAGGAGTAATGTAAAGCCAGAGTAAGAGTCTAGAAGACAAGAAGGAGATAGCTTTTATAGGATGTGAATTTTTCTTATGCTGAAAGCCAATAGAGAGACCTGGGAATAAGTTGCAGCCTAGAATCAGAATCAGATTCCGTGGGAGAACTGTAGAAAAGGGATCAGACAGGTATGTGTAACTTGTAAAAGGTCCCCAAGTGATCTGATACATTCCATTCTGCTTTGTCCTCCCTTTCACTGAGAATCCCAAATGTTAGTGTACATGAATTTCCTAGGGAGATTTTTGAAATACCAACTCGCTCTCTCATACACCTTGGTTCTCATTTAGGATTGCAGTATGGGGCTGAGAAACCCATATTTTTTAATATGCCACCTAGGTGATTCTGTTACAGATATTCATAGACTATATGTTGGAAAACACTGACTTAAACTGTATATTAAGTAAACTGAATTATGAGCTGTGCCTACTTAGGGCTCATTGTCCTCATCCATATAACTATGTATAACTAGATTCCAGCCATTCTCTTGAAAAATAAAACATTTTATTCATTAAGGATTAATATATGTGGTCAATAAAAGAAAGAGGAGATGTTCATCCTCATTGGAGGCCTTAGCAATATAAATTAAATCAAGCATGGGATGCCATTTTTTACTTACCAGATTGTCAAGGATTTTAAAATTTATGGTATCCAGTTTGGTCAGGGCTATGAATTAAATGGCCAGTCTCTTGTTTTGCTGGTGAAAGTATACAGCTTTCCTGATGAGCAAATTGGCAATATATATCAAGACCCTGAAATATACTCACATACTTTATTCCAATAATTCTGCCCCTAGGAAGTTTTAGTAAGGAAATTAATAGATGCGAACAGATTTTTATATGCAAAGATACTCATTACAGCAGTATTTATAATAGCAAAATTAGAAAAAATATAAATGTCTAATAATTAGATGGTTAAATTATCATAGTATCAAATGTCATACATCCATTTGTAAATACCAAGTTTTTAAAGAATATTGAGTGTTGGCAAAATACTCAGATACAAAGTTTGTTGAAAAAGAGGATACCAAAACAAAACATAATATCCCCAGTTTTTAAATATTAGATGAATACATGTCAGTAGAGAAAAAAGATAGGAGAAACATTTTGGATAATAGTAGTTATTGCTGGATGGTAAGATTATAGATTATTTAATTCATTTTTATTTTACCTTATTTTTTGTATTTTCACGGTTTCCAGTTAGCATTTGTTTAACTTTTTCTGAATATAAAGTATTTAAAAATAAGTATTTTCTATTTATAGAACTTTAAGCTCATTTGGTTTAATTTCCAACTTAGTAAAATAATATTTTATATTAGTAGTAGGAATATAAATGATTAGAATATTATTTAAATAATTTCTAAAATTCTGATTATGATGTTAAAGAAGTTTTAATTGAGTATCCTTGTTCATTTGAACTAATGGAGTCATTTTATTTCATCTCACTAACTATTGCCTTCCAATCATTTGCAGACTTAAAGAGAAGTGGGAGATGGATGCTCTAATTAAATTAGGTTTAGTTTGTTATGTCAGGATAAATTGAAATAATAAATGAATGTTTGCAGTGAACTTTCATATTTTTTTCTGTGTTTTAAGTTCAATTTAAAAGCTTTGAGAAACATATGTTTTTGTAAAGACATATTCTACCTCACTAGTAATTTAAGAAATGCTAATTTAAACCAAAAGCACATTTTACTTCTAAAGTAGCATCAACTAAAACTTACTAATATCCAGGATTGTTGAGTATATGGAGACTTGGCACCCTTATACACTGTTGGTTGGAATGTGTACTTACTTGTCAGCATTTTAAGACTGTAGGGCGATACTATCAATGGATAAACATATGATTACCTTTCAACTTTGTCTACATATAGGAATCCTTCTTACAGAAAGAAATACATGGGTGCACAAAGTCATGTATACAATGATATTTCAACATTCTTTGTAGTAACAAAAATTTAGAAACTACATTAATGTCCATCAATAGAGGAATGGATAAACTATGATGTACCCTTAGTATTACACAACTGTTAAAAAGAATGAAGTAGGTTTCTATTACTAATATATACAATCTCCAGGATGTGTTAAGTGAAAAAAGCAATTTGCAAAATAATACATATAATATGTCACCATTTGTGTTGAAAAAAGGTGTATGTTTAGGCCTATAAATGGATTGAAAAAAGTCAGCAATAATACACAGCAAATTGTTAATGGTGATTATCTCTGGGAAGGGAAATGGGATTGCAGGGATGTGTGGGGTGAGTTGGGGGTTATCATGTTTTAGTCTTATGTCTTTACTATTATTTTAATAATCTTTATAATGAACATAAATGTGTGTGTGTGTGTGTGTCTGCTTGCTCCAGGATGCTGTCCTCTTCCATAATACCATTTACTACAACCTGTTATATGGAAACATCAGAGCTTCACCTGAGGATGTGTATGCAGTGGCAAAATTAGCTGGACTCCATGATGCAATTCTTCGAATGCCCCATGGATATGACACCCAAGTAGGGGAACGAGGACTCAAGCTTTCAGGTAATCAGATTTTAGATTTGCCCCCCCACACACACACACACACACATACACACACAGACCACCGCCACACTTGGATACTCCCTTCAAATTTGTCATAGCCATTTTCTAGAAAATATAGTAGCAGTATTCAAAACTAATGCTTATCCAAGTGCTTTAGACAAAGTCCCCAAGCCTCCTATCCATCACTGTAAACAATCTAATATACCAGAAGTAAGTGTTCTCAAATCATACAAATCTTTTTTTTCTTTTGCAGCTGCAAACACGTTAAGTGCTTAATAGTAAGTTATGGATATATGCTAAAATCAGTATTAACTTATTACCCATATTCTTTTTTAAAAATATATTTTATTGATTTTTTACAGAGAGGAAGGGAGAGAGATAGAGAGTTAGAAACATCGATGAGAGAGAAACATCGATCAGCTGCCTCCTGCACATCTCCTACTGGGGATGTGCCTGCAACCAAGGTACATGCCCTTGACCGGAATCGAACCTGGGACCTTTCAGTCTGCAGGCCGACGCTCTATCCACTGAGCCAAACCGGTCTTGGCTATTACCCATATTCTTAATATTAAAGGAAAGCCAGGTTCATTATTCTTCTGGGAAAGTAGTAAGAGTAGAGAGAAATAATTTGCTAGTGACTAGTGTATCTCATCATAATTTCCTCGATTATTATGTAATGTTTTGAATACTTTAGACTTCCTTGTACAGGATATACTTAACTGTTACACTTTTTTTGTAAATTATATTTTAATTATAGTTGACATTCAATATATATTTGTTTCATGTATATAACAGTGGTTAGACTTTCATATACCCTATTAAATGATCACCCTGATAAGTCTAGTACCCAGGTGACACCATACTTTCCTTACAGCAATCTTCATTTACATTTCCTTGATTCAATGGTCAAGTAAATTTTGGGGCTTCTACATTTCTATTTAAGTGTTTAATTATGAGATTGATAAAGTTTAATAATGAATTATCCTAAAAGGACTGGATTTTTGGAAAGTCCATAAATATGTTTCTTTGCCCCAAATTATTTGAATTCCAGAGTAAAACAATATCTAATGCCTGAAAGTATTAATGTAACTCATATACTAAATCCTTTACATTTATTCTTCACTAGTGGCCCGGTGCACGAAATTGTGCACATTAAAAGGGGATTAATTAAAGGAAATATTTTAATATTGCTATTTGCCCTTTCTCTATAATAGAAGTGTCAGAGATGAAAGAAAATTAGTAAAATGTATATGAAAGTATATGAAAATCTCCCTCCTGTCAGAATCTGGGGTGCGTCCCGTGACCCAGAGTCAAGTCCTGGACCACCTGCACATGCCTCGAAATTGCGCGAGACCCAGACCCTGCCGGCCCCATCCCCGTCAAGCCCCACAGGGTGGAGGGTGCAGCCTCAGGTCCTCCAGCACCGGGGCGAGGGTGCAAGGGCGTGACAGCCATTTGCATATTAGCTCTTTATTATATAGGATTCTAATTTAGTTTAAGGGGGAAATTTATAGAGTAGGGATAGGGGTAAGGCAAAAGGGGAATAAAGAATAGTATGCATGAATTTTAATATATCCCCATTTCTCTTTGTTACAAACTGGTTTCAATCACATTGATTAAGTACATACTACCTGTAATCTACTATGCTAAATGATTTAAGAGTTAAAAAGATGAAGCATAAATCAATCTTTCAAGGAATTTAGTCTATTAGAAAGTTTTGATCTAGGTTTAGAAAATGTTAAACAAAGATTATTTTCACACTTAGTTGGTTTGTAATAGTTATTTGGTCGTTAATCAGTAATAAAAGGTGCCTGTATCATTCCACTTCACTTTTATACTTTACCATTGCTTTTAATAGAAGTAATTTCCTATTAACTAGTTCACACTCAGATTATTTTTTCCATTTGGCTGACTCTGGAAATTCCCAATTTGTCACATAATATGGGCTTCCTTCCTCAACTTATGACTTTGACTCAGATGACTATGCCACATTGCATTTTCCAATCCTTTATTTTCCCTCTCAGCATACCTTTGAGAGTAGGGATGGCTAAAGAAATGTTATTTTTACCTGATACCCATCGCCTTACAACCAGACATCTCAAAATGAGCAGTGTATTAATTGGCATCTATGCTCATAATTCTGGTAGAGATAAACAAATGCTCTTCTTCACGTTCCAAAATTATATTCAATAAAATCACAATTGGGTTGGTTTCCATTTGAAATTTGGGAGGCACATCAAAAACATTCATTGGTGAATACACAATGTAATATATAGATGATGTATTATAGAATTGTACACTTGAAACCTATATAATTTTATTAACCAATGTCACCCAATGAATTTAATTAAAAACCTCAAATTAAAGAAACAACAAAAAGAATCCTTCTGCTGAGTGTCTGCTTCTTTTAGGAGCTTTCTGTTGCTGAGTTACTAGGTGGATCAGCAGAGAGTTCTGTCATGGTGTTTGCTTTGATAGGGAAATTTTGATCTTATGAAATGGGGAGGAGTGCAGATAGTATGAATATATACTTAGGCATTAATATTAGATATAAGGAGTCCTTTTATATGTTGAAGAAAAGAAATTGCAGAACAAATATACTTGGTGTACCAGATAATAAAAAGGTGGAACTTGTTTTCTGAAGAGGTTACTGAAGCTGAAAAATATTTTTTCAGATATTAATAAATTAATAGATAACTGACAAGAAAAGAAGCCAAAAGAGGCATATTAAGTAAAGTACCACCTTTTATATAGATACTAAAGTCTCAGTGCATGACATTCATGCACTGGGGGGGGGGGTCCCCCCAGCCCTACCTACACCCTTTCGCAGTCTGGGAGCCCTCGGGGGATGTCCAACTGACAACTTAGGCCTGCTTTCCCCAGGGAGTGGGGCAAAACTGCAGTTGGACATCCTTAGCACTGCCATGGAGACAGGCTGCTGCGCTTGCCAGCCGTTAGCCAAGCTTGTGCCTGAGCAGCCCTCCTCCTGTTGGAGTTCACTGATCACCAGGGGCCAGCTCCTGCATTGAGCGTCTGCCTTCTGGTGGCCAGCGCACATCATAGTGACCAGTCTTGTGCTCTTTGGTCGATTTGCATATTACCACTTTATTATATAGAATACCTTGGAGATATTTTGGGTTTGGCTCCAGAGTACTGCAATAAAATGAAATATTACAAATTTTTTGGTTTTTCAGTGCATATAAAAGTTAAGATTATATAATATTATAGTCTATTAAGTATATAACAAAATACGTCTTAAAAATAATATATGCGAATTTAAAAATATCTTATTGCTAAAAATCCTAATGCCCATTTGAGCCTTCAGCGAGTCATAATTTTTGCTGGTTGGAGGAACTTTTTAAAAATTGTTGACATTATTACAGATGTTCCCCATTGTCTCCCCCTTTGTTCACCACTACCCAGACCTTGCCCTCCTCACCTCTGGACCTCACCACATTGTTTTCTGTGTCCATGGGCAATGCATATATGTTCTTTACCCATTCTCTTCACCTTCTGTCATCCCATCTGCACCACCCACCTCCCCTCTTATCTGTCAGTTTATACCATCTAACCATGCCTCTGGTTCTATTTTGTCAGTTTATTTTGTTCATTAGATTCCACATATAAGTGAGATCATATGGTATTTGTCTTTTTTTTCTGACTGGCTTATTACACTTAGCATAATAATCTCCAGGTTCCTCCATGCTGTCTCAAAGGGTAAGATATCCTTTGAGACAGCTGCATAGTATTCCATTGTGTAAATATTCCACAGCTTTTTTATCCATTCTTCTACTGGTGGGCTGTTTCTAGATCTTGGCTATTTTAAAATATTGCTGCATGATAGGGGTGCATATATTCTTTCTGATTGGTGTTTCAGAATTCTTAGGATATCTCTCCAGAAGTGAGATTACTGGATCATAAAGTAGCTTCACTTTTAATTTTTTGAGGAAACGCCATAAAATTTTCCTCAGTGGCTGCACCATTCTGCATTCCCCACCAATAGTACACTAGGGTTCCCTTTTCTCCACATCCTCCTCAGAACTTGTTGTTTGTTGATTTATTGATGATATCCATTCTGACAGGTGTGAGGTGCTATGTCTTTATGGTTTAATTTGCATCTCTCTAATGTTTAATGACAGTGAGCATTTTTTCATTTGTATGTTCTCTTTGGAGAAGTGTCTATTCACTTCCTATGCCCAGTTCTTAATTTTATTGTGCGTCTTCCTGGTGTTGAGTTGTAGGAGTTCTTTATATATTTTGGAAATTAACCCCTTATCAGACATCATTGGCAAATTAAGCTTTTTATTTTGATGTAGTGCCATTTGTTTATTTTATCCTTAGTTTCCTTTGCCCTAGGAGATGTATCTGTAAACATCTTGCTACGAGAGATGTCTGAGATTTTGCTGCCTATATTTTCTTAAAGGATTTTTATTGTTTCACAACTGTTTCACAATTTAAGTCTTTTTTCCACTTTGAGTTTATTCTTATGTATAGTGTAAGTTAGTTAGTGGTCTACTGTCATTTTTTTGCATGTAACTTTCCAATTTTCCCAGCACCATTTATTGAGGAGACTGACTACTCTTGCCTCCTTTGTCAAATATTAATTGTCCATAGAGGCATAGGTTAGTTTCTGGGCTCTCTGTTCTGTTTCTTTTGTCTATATGCCTGGTTTTTTTGTTTTTTTTTTGCCAGTACCAGACTCTTTTGATTATAATGGCCTTGTAGTATAGTTTGATATCCAGTATTGTGATACCTCCAACTTTGCTCTTCTTTGTCAAGATTGTTGTGGCTATTTGGGGATGGATATATATATTGTTTCAGAGAGGAAGGGAGAAGGAGAGAGAGCAACATCAATGATGAGAGAGAATCATTAATTGGCTGCCTTCTGCATGCCCCATACTGGGGATCAAGCCCGCAACCCGGGCATATGCCCTTGACTGGAATCGAACCCGGGCCCTTTCAGCCCACAGGCTGACGCTCTATCCACTGAGCCAACCCAG